CATGTTTCACACTCTCTCTCAAATAAATAAATAAATAAATCTTTAAAAAAATATATATATATGTAGAAGGAACTCCAAAATTTAATAATTTGTGAAGAGCCTGCTACACACTGAACACCAACATATATTTATACTACAAAATTCTGAAGTGAACTGTTACCACAGCATTCAAGCTCAAGCCTTGTGAATTTTGAGCCAATTATCTGTTCATTACACTTTGTAGTATCCTTCCTCCAATGGATTGAGAGCAATGATGAACATTTATCAGAAACTATAAGCTAGACATCATACCCTGTGCTTTGCAGGCTATATTTCATTCAGTCCTCACAAGTTTATGAGATTGCCACTATTCTTAAGTATAGTTAGGGAAACAAAGACTTAGGTTGAATACTTTCCCAAGCTCACATTGCTTTTAAGTGGCATAAACACTGATTAGAACTTATGTGTAACTTGTGTAACTGTCTTCAAACCCAGATTCTTAATCACCACACTGTGTTATTAAATGTGATAAATGGGATCCAAATCTTCATCTGTTAGCTATTAAGCCTCAAATTTGGGTTGACTCTGTTTATCGTTTCCACATTCAAATCCAGGTTTGGTTTTTTGTTTTTGTTTTTGTTTTTTGCCAAAATTCACTTGTTTGAAGATTACTTCTGAACAGAATGGGATTATTTTATTCTTTCGGCAAAGACATCCAAGGGGCCATATGTTCTTGTTAGTCTCCTGGTACGAAACAGAGCAATAGGAAGAGCCAGAGGAGAGAAACCTACATGAAATCAATCTTTGATAACTTTAGGATGAGCCCTCTACAATGGAGTTTGTCAATGTAAAGGTCTTAAATAATAGAAGTCAGGTTCTGATTTCGAACTACAGAATATCTCAACGTAGGGCTTACAAGTTATTTAAAATTAGTGATAATTTAATAGCATTTTATTCCAGAATTAGAGCCTTGTTTCCTCTTTCACTAACATGAAAATCTATAATTCCTTTAATCCTTGGGAATATGCAGCGTGAAAATATTTTAATCTCTTGTACCGCTATCTAAAATTTCTAACTACCTATCTGGAATTAACCTCAGTCCATTTTTAAGACTGAAGTAAGGACCAATTCTTTTTTTTTTTTTTAAGCCTTAAATTCGATATAGTATTCTCCCAGCTTAAAAGAAAAGTCATTTAAAATGAAAGTCTAAGAATGTTTACAAAAATAGGACATAGATAAAGCAGTATAAGCCAGTTATTATTTTTTAAAAGGTAACAGTTTGGGGAAGAGTAAGGGAAAAAAGACAAACTTATCTTTGTAAAAGTGAATTTTTTGTTCTAGAAGCCAGCACAGCTGTCTCACATAGGAACAGGGAAAGCTGCAGGGGCTTAGATCAAACGGCGATCAGAAGCAGTACCCCCTGCTAAATGTGATTGCATCTGATCTCATAAACTAGAAGACGCTGAGCCTGAATGTCACAGACTTGATTAATTTTCAAGTAGGGCAAATACAAACAGGGAAGACTGATGCTCTGATTTTCCTAATTAACTCAGATGATTCATAGGTGGTTTAATAGCCGGGATCTCTACTCTTCCATTACGCAGATGGGCAGGAGCTTGCTTTTTGAGAAATGATCTGACAATTAAGATGCACAGGCAGGGCCCTAAGAAACCTGATTTTCAAAGGGCTCTGCTTCTAATGCTGGGGTTTTTACTTAAATGAATCCTCACCCTGTTTCAGCTCCATACAAAAGAAATAGGTAGATCGAAATGTTCACACTCTAGCTTGGCAAAGGCACAAATGGAAATATTAATGCTACTTAACAATTTCCACGTAAAGATTAATTTAACTGACAATTATCAGTGACATGAATGAATGTTATTGGAATCTGGGGAACATATTATTAGCCTTCATTACCCATACCTTTTCTAATAGACATAAAGGATTAAACTGTTTCTGAAAAAAAGTGGCAGAATCTTGATATCAGGTACTATGTTTTTTTACTGCTTTAGTAGACCAGTGTATGTTCTTTCTGCCAGTCTCTCAAACTCTAGATTTTGCTTACAGGAACTGTTTTAAGCCAACATATCAGTCTTTGGGGAGTTCAGCATGCAAAGATCCCTTTTTGTACCTGCAGAACCAACACATTTGTTGAGAATAGAAAGGGCCAGGCTTTGACATTTTCCAGCTTGTTATCTATTTAATTTTCCATCTGCTTCTTTTGCCACTGCCTTCCAAAGGAACATCTGCTGCACATCTGAGAGAAGGAAGGGAAGATTGGATCCATGCCACCTGGGTCTGCAGTCCTAAACCTTGGGATTCAGATTAAGGGAAGGGAAGAAGACTGACACATGGTCCAGAAAATGAAATGAGGACAAACAGTCTGTTAAGAACAAACCTTTGTTTCCATTTATCGCAGAGCCCACACGACCAGGCAAGCTGGACAACAGTGTCTGCCATCAGCCAGAGCTAGAGGCAAGGGAGGGAGCTGGTGCCTGGGAGGGGAGCAGGGAGGCAAGAGCAGTTTCCAGCGCTCAGACGCGCCCTCTGGTGCCTGAATTTGCACTCACCCACACCTGCTGCTCACATACCCTTTAAGCATTTATGGGGTAGCCGGACTTTGTTCTGGGCATTCTGGAGGCAGAGATGATTGTAAGATATATTTCCTACCTTGAAAGATCTGGCCTAGGATGAGGGAGATGGGCAAGTAGACAGCAGATTACAATATACAGTAATAAATTCTACACACTGGCTGGGAGCACAGAGAAGGGAAAAGAAGGGTGTGCCTAATCCCATGAAGCAAAATGGTGGCTCAAGGAAAGGAGAGGCTCTACAGAGATGGTGCCGTGAGCGGAGTCTGGAAGGATAAACAGGAACATTAGAAAACAAGCTCTTTTTTTCTCCTTATGATCAAGAGTTAGCACATAACAGCCAATCTTCGTATTGACTCAAAAAACTGAATACCCCCAAACCTTAAACCCACCCACCACCACTCTCAGTGTCCAGGCATCAGCAATTCTGTCCAACGTACTAGCTGGTTGTGCCATCTCTTAATATTATCTGAAGAATCACTAATAAGGATAGCAAAGTCTTATCAGACTGGGAGGTAAATCTCAGTATAAGAACCACTTCTTAATTTGCTGCCATGGAGTAGCCAATTATCGGGTTTTAACTGTCCTTAAATATTGAACTTTGGCATCACCAAAATCTTGATATGTAAGACCAGAGTAGCCACCCAATTACATTTTTAAACTTAGGAGTTTCTCTCAATCAAGTATTGAGTGAGTATCTGGTGTAGGCACCATGAGGCACACAGAAATATAAGGCATGACCTTTGAGTCTAGAAAGCTAAAATCTAATTGTGATGATAAGCAATTAGTTCTATAGTTCTGACATGACAAATACTTAACATTTAACTGAGAAAAGAGTGAGGCTAATGTGATAATGCATTGCTCGGTGAATGTATGCTTTCTTCCCTTTCCAGGCCCTCTACAAATAGGTATAAAATTTTATCATTTGCTTTAGTCACAGTGTGTACTGAGATGCAAATGTAATTGGCATAATCTCTGACTACACCAATATGTTGTCTTGGCATTTTAATAAATTTTGTTTCATTTTTAAATTTTTTAAAATTTTATTTAAAAAATATGCTTTCACAAAATGCATATGACTGGGGAAAAAATCAAGCACACCTTTTTTTCTGTCATACATTTTCTTTTCAAAAGAAAGATTTTCTCAACTTAAAAACACATTGAGGAGTAATTTTTTGAAGTTTTTATTGCTTTTCACTACCAAGCTATTTGATAAAATTAAATATTTGGTGTATTTTTACCTTGAATTAACTCACAGAAATCCTTAGGTTATTATAAGCATGTAATGTTTCAGTTTATGGTTAGTTTCTTAGGTGGAGCTTAAAGGCATTAAAATTTTTAAGTTTTAAATCACATCATTAGGTATGGTGGATAAGAGAATTCCCCGTGTTCACCTACAAGAATGGACTTAAAGAGAAACTGATGATTGAAACATTTCATGATTTCAAAATAAGAACAAAAGGAGGATTTCTATGGCATTAGGTGATTGGGCCACCAGAAGAAAAATTACAAAGTAATTTCTGTCAGCAGACCACAATCCATTATGTCCTAATTTAGAGTTGATAGAAGCACAGAATATTTGTGAGTTGGAATGTATGCCTGGGTTATCGTCTGATTTGTAAATGAGAAAACTGAGACCCAGAAAGATTAAATAATTACGTCTTGGTTTTCTGGGTTTACAACCGTGACCTGAGACTCCCCAGCACATCGTAACTTCAGGCATTATCTTGTCATTGTTACTCCTTTTGGTTTTATATTTTCACCCATGAAAAAAATCATGTAGGGACAGAGCTAGATCAGTCTTTCTTAACGGAACTTGTATTTGTCATTCCCACTCAATACTTTAGAAAATTGGGTTTAGCTTGCTAGTCTCAGGACCTGAATGAGTGGTCTGGCACCTATTCCGTGCCAACCTGTTTTTTTTTCTTTCTTGGTTCTCCCTGAGACTGTAGAAGACAAGAACAGCAGGTAGCACCATGCACAGCCCCCTGTCTCCTGAGACTAAACTCGACGAGTATAGCTATTGTATATGGTATAGCTATTGTATATGCCGTGATCTCCGGGTAGACTTGGGGCTGTTTGAAAGCATGGTGCTTTTGTGGCTGAGTTAGATGCAAATGAGCCTCAGGTAAGTTCCTGAGGGAGGAACATAAGCAGATTTAGTAAACTGTTTAAATATTCCATGCCTAACATTTTCTGAATTGGGGGATAACTACACATAATTTCCTTTGGCTTCAGTATAATACAGATCAGGCATAATAAATACATCAAGAAGGAACTAAGCCAATTGCTGGAACGTGACTGCATTTAGTTCATAATAGAAAAAATAAACGATGGCATGGTCATTACTTAAATGAAGCACAGAACAAACTCTGAGTTAATCACCTTCCAAGCTTTTTCTCTAGATAATGTTCTTTTCCTTTTCTACAGATGTCTATTCTCTAATTCTAGTGGGTTTTGTCCTTTTTCCTCAGATGCAATGGGAGATGAGCTAGATATTCCCGTTATATCTGCAGCTCTTATATTCAACTTCTGGTGGGCGAGTAGAGCACTGCCCCAGCCTCCAGGGGCAACATGTCTGCTCTCTTCCTGGTTTCTCCTTGAAAATTAATCTGAGATTGATGGGTACGTGGGGGAAAACCATTCCTGGATATTCTTCCTTACCATACTTCTAATTGCCTTTGCTCTATCATCCTTAGGACTACCAAGAGGCCTCCAATTTGGAACAATTTGTAACTCGATTTTTATTGAAGGAGACCTTGAATCAGCTGCAGTCTCTCCAGAATTCTCTGGAATGTGCCATGGAAACTACTGAGGAGCAAACCCGTCAAGAAAGGCAAGTTAAATATGTTCATGTGATATCTCTGTAGTGACTATGAAAGACCAGTTGAGGGGCATCATGCTTAAGCTAGTGAAACTAAAAATGAGAATTAATAAATTTAAATAGAATTACAGGAACCTCCTTTGGGTGCTCGCCTTATATTTGCCACTAAAAGAAGCCATTCTACTTTTACTGTCCATCATTTATTCAAATTTAAATTGCAAATTTAGTAGACACTGTGATAATGTAAAGTTACATTTTACATAGTCCTGACTCTTCAGGATGCTAAAGTCTATTATGTAAATAAGACATGAAGACTAAAACCATAGTGTAAGATGCAAAGTGATATATATCATACAGAAGGGTAAATAAGGTGCCAAGGATTTAGGAAGAGTAAAAGATTTCATGGAATTTCCTGATGATATTTGGGCTCATCTTGCAAATGAGTATTATGTGAAAATGTGGAACTGATAGAGACTTAGAGGCTAAGTGAACCTGGATGTACCTGGGGACTTGGGAATCAAATCAGCCTATTTATTTAAAGAAATAAAGAAAAATGAATGGTAGGAAAAGATTTCAAAATTCAAGACCACCAGTTAATGTCACTGAGAAGATAAGTAATGCTACTATAATAGTTACGTAAATAAAGGTGCTAATGCTAAAGAGGAACCTGAATTAGAACCGTGTAAAGCAGACATCGAAATTATTCTAACCAACAGTTGGTACTTGCTTGAGTTGCCATTGTTTATACCTTGCAAGCTAGAGAAGGGCTTGGCAAAACCCTGGCTTATGCAACATATTTTGCATGTGTTACTTCAAACCTATACATATGACCATCTAACTTTTGCATTTTAAATTAGGGAGAACCACACAGTAACTTTTTTGAACAGGCTGATAATAGACTGCTCAGTAGGACCAATTTCTCTAAACAAACTAATGGATACGTAATTATTAGGCCATCTCAGAGAAACGGTAGAATTTTCAACCATGTGTTTACAATGTCAAAATGAGTGAGTACCACCAAATTCTAACAGAAAAGTCTCTAATCTCAAATCTAATGAGCTCGTGCAGCTGATGAACATGTGTCTGCCCTGGGCCATGGACCTTGCAGCATTTTCACATTATAAACTTCTTATTTTCACTGCCTTGAGTGATTCTGTATCAAATGGCAGGTGTAACAAATAGCTTTAGAAAAGCAAAAACCCCGTTCTTCAAGTTTGAGCAGAGGATAACGAAATATCTTGAAATACAGTGAAACTGATTTCATGTTCCAAATGGGAAAATGAGGTTGATTTCTCTGTTTTGTTTAGATTTTCTTGATGTGAAGTGGATTCTCCCTTTTTAGAATCAATTATTTGTCACCTGAGAGGAAGCCTGCAAAAGCACTGTGCTTCCCTTCTTCACCTGCACTTTGGGTTTTTTCTATAGTCATCTCCTGCAAACTTGAGTTCTGCATTCACCACCATATAGCGGATATATGATGAATAGCTGTTCTTTGTGTTAGGCCACAGGCTAGCCTTGGCTTCCTGTGAAAACTACCAACAGCTGCACAGCGGCTGTTTTTAATGAGAAGGAATGTGATAATGCAGAACTTAAGGAAAGTAGAAGACACTAAAGGACTAGTTAATATTTTATTTATAGGCTTCTAGCTCAAACAGAGCTTGGAAGAATGAGAACTATTACACGTCTGATGTAAATTTGGGTGGTGCTGTTGTATGGTATTTGACTAAGGTACCCAGGGATGCCCAGATCCCACCCCAAATCCATGATACTCCTCTGGGGAGGTTTTCATTAAAAAATAAATAAATAAAAAGCAAATAAAAAAACTAGTTTCCACTATGGGTTTGTGCCCATAATCCAACTTGAAGTGCCTGGTGACCCTGACTGAAGAGTGGGAATTAGGCTCATGGTTAAAAGTGTCGTGCCTCCTGTCCCTAGCTCCATCTAGCAATCAGCTGGCCACCAGAAACCAAAGTAAGGAGAGCCCCAGGGACCCTCTCCAGTGGAGGAAAAAAAACAGGACAGGAAAGATGGCTGTCCTTTTTCCATGATATTAGACAAGAGACCAGTAAATAATCCTCAGAGGAGATAAGACTTGAACGGGATCTTTAGGGTAGATTTAATGGCAGAGGATATTCTCCCTGAAGGGATAGGTCTCCTCAGCCACCCCATAGTATCCATCTTATTCCTTCTGGCTGGCTCTTCCTCTTTTGTTTGGTCACTGCTTGGACAGCACTTGCTCTGGAAAACCTTCACCTACAACTCCACCGTTTACTTTCTCAGTACCCTCTACTTAGACTTACCTACAAACTCAATCTTTTACTTATCTCTCCCATTAGACTTTGAGTTTCTAAATGGAAGGGGCTTTGCCTTGTTTCCCTGTACCTGGCACAACTACATGTTAAATATACGAAACTGAATGAATGAAAGGAAATCCCAGGTAAAAGGAACTATATAGAACAGCAGTGGATGAGGACCTGGGACAGTGAGAACAACCCATCTGGCATCTAAGGTTAAGAAAGGTCTTAAAAGCTAGACAAATGCATTTAGATTTCATATGATCAGGGATTGTCTTGGTGGTTGTAAATAAAAGAGAAATATAATGAAAAGTTTTAAGGGAAATTAGTCTCATAACAGTATATAGTAAAGATTTGAGAAGAGTTAGAACAAGGTCAGGGAGGAGAGGTCAAATCAATGTACCCCAGAACTCATCTGTTTTTTTATAACATAAAGGAAGATTCCATGATGTCCTGCATAGTCAACAGTTGCAACCTGCAGATAGCATTAAAAATCCCAGGGTTATAATAATTTGCTTCCCCTTAAGCATCAGTATTACTTTGGGGCTTAATATTTGTGAAACCTAGGGATACAAAACTTCATTGGAATATAGCAAATTTTGAGAAGTCATCTGTTCTAGTATCAACCCCAGGGGGGAATCACATAGTATCACTCATCCTGCAGTAATGAGTTAGACATGCAGTGTTGGGCAGAATGTCTGTGTCTATTCACGTGAAAACGGCAATTTCAGAGAGAAGGGGTGCATACAGCTGGAATGCCACAGAGGTGAGATTTTCAGATGGTGTTCTACAACACTCTTTGTATCTGTCCTGGCATACTGGCTAAATTAATTCCATGTCTTCTGAAAGTACCTAATAGCCAATGACAAGAATAATCATCACATTACACTGAAGCTTCCCTCGAGAGGCCCCTGTCCTCTTACATAAGCCTTTCTTCTTCACAAACCAGATTTCTGGGAACACAGTTTAATTATATGTGAATTTCTTTTTATAATGGAATCTGAAAATTTACTCTATTTTCCAAAGTTGTTCTTTATCCAGACTAATTCCTTCTAGGTTTAGAAGTTATTCTTCTCCTTTTGATGGTTGTCTATTATAGAAGTAAGGGAAGGCTTTAATTTTGCTTGCAGGTGATTATAAACCTTCAGACAGTCTACATTCCCTTAGCTTGAACATAGAGGAGAACTGCTCTAGTCACCTATTCTTATGACCACTGAAGCTGCAAGATAAAGTTGATCTTTTTTAAATGCCAAAGGAAAATCCATAGGGTGGTCTAGTTAAAGATTGGAGAGTAAACATATGATTTCTTTTCTTTTCTTCCTTCTTTCAAAGAAGGCATTAACAGAGTGTGGACAACAAGGAGTCATAAAGGTGCAAAGATAAGGATAGACGAACCAAAGGGGTAGAAACTTGGAATATGGAAAGAAAATGAATGTAGTGGTGACTAATGTTGAAGCTCTGAGAAAGACAAAACATAGGCAATGTGTGGAGCCAAGATGCAATGTAATTTGTATCACAGAACCTCAGAGAGGTTCATGAATTGGCTTCATTGTGTGCAGTGGGGGTGACGTTGGGGCTAACATATTGCTGAAAGCTCCATCTAATATTGTGTAAGTGCCCCTCCCCAGTCCTTGAGGAGCCTGGAGATGTGCTTTCTGGAGAAGGTGAACAGATATATAGCTAGCACAGCAGGGGTCAGGACATGATACTAAAACACAGGCATTAAGTGAAAGTCTCCATATTGAACAGTGAGATTTGAAAGCCACTCAGCATACTGTACTCCCAAAGCACTAACAGCTGGGCTTATACACTCTGGTTGGGAGATGCTTCTCTCAATTTTCTGTGGGATCTCATCAGTCCAAGAGAAAGACTTAAAAGTACCAAGAGATGGTGTCTCTTAATGAATAGGCCTAGCCAGGCCACCCTATGGTGGGGACTGCAAGTTGGCAGTCCTCACCTTCCCCCCCTGCCCAACACACACACACACTCCAATCATCCATGTTTCCTTCCTCTGAAATAGGCAGGGACAACCAAGAGAACAAATCAAACACAAGAAAAGAAACTTAGAAGAAACATATAATCCAGAGAGCAGAAGAAGACTTCCAAAAAAAAAAAAAGAAAACAAAAGAAATCAATACCCTCAGAAAGGAGAGAAAATATTGCATTTATGAATTAAGGACAGGATGCTGTTTTAAAAAATAATATTCATGGGGTGCCTGGGTAGCTCAGTCATTAAGCATCTGCCTTCAGCTCGGCTCATGATCCCAGGGTCCTGGGATCGAGCTCTGCATCGGGTTCCCTGCTCAGCCGGGAGCCTGCTTCTCCCTCTCCCACCCCCACTGCTTGTGTTCCCTCTCTAGCTGTCTCTCTCTCTCTCTCTGTCAAATAAGTAAATAAAATCTCTAAGAAAAATAAATAAATAAAAATATTCAAAGCACACAGAGAGCTCTTGGAAATTATGATTGCAGAAATAAACTGTGAGCAAGATTTGGAGATAAAAGTGTGATGGCATTTCCACAAAGAGATGAAAAATAGGAAAGAAAAAATAAATAAAACTGTAGGATAGTCCAAAAGGCCCAATATTTGAAAAGTAGTAATTCCAGAAAGAGAAGAAAGGAGAGAAATTGTCTAAGAAATAATTCTCAGAACAAGGACATGAGTTTCCAGGTTGATAGACCGAGAGCCCATTACAATGAATTCTAAAATCTGACACCAAGGCATGCCGTTATGAGATTTCAGAATACCAAAGACAAAGAGAAGTGTCTAAAATCTTCCAGACAGAAAAACCAGGTCAAATACAAAGGATGAAGAAAACACTAGATTTTTTCAATAATGACACTGGAAGCTAGAAATGCAATCAAGCAGCTTTTTCAAAATTTGAAGGGAAAATGATTTGCAACCTAAATCTTTGTACTCTGACTTCAGGGGAAGATGGCAGAGTAGGAGAATCTTAGGCTCCCATTGTCCTATTGATATACCTAAATAACACCCACATCCATGTAAATAACCCAGAAAATGACCAGAAGACTGGCAGAACAGACTCTCACAGCTAAATGTAGAGAAGAGGCCACATTGAAAATGGTAGGAAGGGTGGAGATGCAATCAGGAGCCAAAAAGACCCACAAGACTGTCTCGGGGAGGGAGGGACACTGCAAGCATGGAGAAGGGAAAAGAGCAGACCCCACCCCAGGCACCCCAGACACAAGGGACCCACATAGGGAAGATGAACCTCTATAACATTTGGATTTGAAAACCAGAGGGGCTTAATTTTGTAAGTTTTTACAGTCAGTGGGGCTTAAGACCTAGAACTTTTTTTTTTAAAGATCTTATTTATTTGAAAGAGAGTGAGAGAGAAAGCATGAGAGGATGGAGGGTCAGAGGGAGAAGACTCCCCGCTGGGTCTACCTCAAGAAGCCAGAAAAATCTCAGATAAATTAACCTTACACCTAAAGGAGCTAGAAAAGGAAGAATAAATAAAACCAGTAGAAGGAAGGAAATAATAAAGATTAGAGCAGAAATAAATGAAATAGAAACTAAAAACAAAAACAAACAAAAAAGATCAATGAAACCAGGAGCTGGTTCTTTGAAAAGATTAACAAAAATGATTAACTTTTAGCCAGACTCATAAATAAAGGACTCAAAATCAGAAATGAAAGAGGAGAAATACCAACCAACACCATAGAAACATAATGGTTTATTAGAGCATATTATGAGTAATTATATGGCAACAAATTGGACAATCTAGAAGAAATGGATAAATTCCTAGAAACATATAACCTCCCAAAACTGAATTGGAAAGAAATAGAAAATTTGATAGAGCAATTACCAGCAATGAAATTGAACAGTAATCAAAAACTCCCCACAAACAAAAGTCCAAGACCAGATGGCTTCGCAGGTAAATTTTACCAAACATTTAAAGAAGTATTAACACCTATTCTTCTCAAACCATTCCAAAAAATAGAAGAGAAAGGAAAACTTCCAAATTCATTCTGTGATGCCAGCATTACCCTGATACCAAAACCAGATAAAGACAGTGCAATAAAAGAGAACTACAAGCCAGTATTTCTGAAGAACATAGATGCAAAATTCCCCAATAAAATATTAATAAGCTGAATCCCCAAATATATTAAAAAAAATCATTCACCACAATCAAGTGGGATTAAAATCCTCTGCACAGCAAAGTGAATAATCAGTGAAACAAAAGGACAGCCTACTGAATGGGAGGAGATATTTGCAAGAAATATATTCGATAAAGGGTTAATATCCAAAATATATAAAGAATATATAAAACGTATACAACTCAACACCAAAAGAATACCCAATTATTTCATCAATTAAAAATGGGCAGAAGACAAGAACAAATATTCCTCCACAGAAGGCATATAGGTGGCCAACAGACACATGAAAAGATGGTCAACTCACTAACCATCAGTGAAATGAAAATCAGAACTAGAGTGAGCTATCACCTCATTCCTGCATAATGGCTAAAATCAAAAACACAAGAAACAAGCATTGGTGAGAATGTGGAGAAAAAGGAACCCTCGTGCACTGTTGGTGGAAATGCAAACTGGTACAGTCACTGTGGAAAACAGTATGGAGGTTCCTCGAAAAATTAAAAATAGAATTACCATATGATGAAGTAATTCCACTCCTGGGTATTTAACCCAAATAATATGAAAACACTAATTTGAGAAGATATATGCACCCCTGTGATTATTGCAGCATTATTTACAATAGCCAAAATATAGAAGAAACCCAAGTAGCCAATAGATGAGCGGATCAAGAAAATGTGGTGTGTATGTACACACACATACACACACATACATATATACAGTGGAATATTACTCAGCCATAAAGAAATCTTGCCATTTGCAGCAACATGGATGGATCCGGAGAGTATAATGCTAAGTGAAATGTCAGTAAGAGAAAGACAAATACCGTATGATTTCACTCATGTAGAATTTAAAAAATAAAACAAAAAAGACAAGCAAATTACAGACTGTTTTTTTAAGGTTTTGTTTATTAGAGAGAGAGAGAGATAGCAAGAGAGAACACAAGCGGGGAGAAGAGGGAGAAGCAGGCTCCCTGCTCAGCAGGGAGCGCCATGTGGGACTCCATCCCAGGACCCTGAGATCATAACCTGAGCCAAAGGCAGTCACTTTACCAACTGAGCCACCCAGGTGCCCCCAAATTATAGACTCTTAAGTGTAGCGAAAAAAACTGATGGTTACCAGGGGGGAAGTGAGTGGGAGGATGGGTGAAATAGGTGAAGGAGATTAAGAGTACGGTTATCTGTTGATGAGCACTGAGTACTGCATAGAATTGTTGAATCGCTATATTATACACCTGAAAATAATATACCACTACATTAATTATATTGGAAATTAAAAAATAAAGTTCTTTATCCCATAAAAACACCAATAAAGTAGAATAAAATAAAAGTATCTTTTTAATATACAGTATCTCAAAAATTTGAACACTACCTCAAAAACTAATGATGTACCATATGCTGGCTAATTGAACATAATAATAAAAAAATAGAGAACCAGCATAAAAGAAATAAAAAATTAAGTTCATTCATTTATTGAAAAAAAAAAATTTACCTCTCAAGGTGCACCCTTTCCTATGAAGCAATTGGAGGTTCTTTTCCACCAAAACAAAGAGAAAATGAAATCCAATTTAAAAGGGGGTTGGGGGGACCAGCATTAGAAAGAGGCTAAAGAAATTTTCCCTTACTGATAGTTAAGGAAGATTTTTGGATGAGTGAATTAGTATTAGATTTGGCTGCATGTAACAGGGAAAAAAAAGTGACTTAAACACATAAGGGCTTATTGTCAAGAAAGAGCTTGGTGGTGGCAGCCTAAGCAGGTATGACAGCTCTACAGATTTATCACAGACTTCCTGTCTCCTCAAGTTTGCCTCATGGTCCAGGATGGTTGCTGGAGTTCCAGCTATCACATGTGTATTCCAACCAGGAGAGAAGAATAGGGAAAGACCAAAGGCTTGCTTCCCAAGTTGAATCCATTCTTTCAAACAGTTTTCCTGTAAGTTTCTTGTAATATTTCCTTGTATATACCATTGACCTGAACTTTTCATATTGGGAAGTTAATAGATACATTTTAAAACTGAAGAATAAAGTGATAGCAATTTAAGCATATACAGATATGAGGATAAATACCCAAATTAACACTTGTTGAAAGCATTCCCTCTGTGAAAGGGGAATGGGCATGATATGGAGGTGGGGGAGTAGGAACTCCTGTTTGTTAAAATAAGCTAGTCATCAAAAACTAATGGTGTACTGTATGGTGACTAACATAACTAACATAACATAATAAAAAAATTATAATTAAAATAAAATAAGCTTTGTAGAATTATTTGACTTTTAAAATTATATGGATACATAGCCTTGATTTAAAAAATTTAAAACTGACTGAACACCATAGGTATTCTCAAACTAAATACATCAGCACACACAAAAACATTTTTCCCATTGATGGTTTGGTCAAGAAAGGAAAGATGTTTTTCTTAAGTCACAAATTAAGATATAATTTTTACTCAAACTCTGAAAGAATAAAGACAGCTCACAGTTTCTCCTTTAGGTTCACATTTATAAAACCAGATCATGTGGGTCTTTAGAGCATGTTGGCAAGCAGTAATTATCCTCACTTTTCATTTCACTACACCAGAAAACCTTTGTGATTGATGGTTAAAGATCTGTTTCTTGAGGCAAGAAACACGCTGTGGTTAAATGTTGTCTCTCTTGTTTAAGGCAAGGGCCGACCAAGCCAGAAGTCCTGTTGATTCAGTGGCCTGGAAAGCGATCAAGTCGCCGAGTCCAGAGACACAACAGCTTCTCACCTAAAAGCCCTCAGTTTAGTGCCTGTGGTCCAGGTAATGAAGCTTTGTCATTTTTCTTCTTCCAGACTGACCCAGTTTGTATTTTCATGTTGACATACTTTTTAAGCAAGTAAAACAGCAATAGTAATGGAATGCTTTTCTTATACCAGATAAGTTTGTCTGAAACCACAGTGGCAGAGAGCCTGTGGTATTAAGAACAGGGTGATGATCCTCCCTGTTGTTTCCATCAGAATCCCACAGCTGCACCCAGCAGTGCACAGAGGGATGATGGGTAGGGAAGAAAGTGGCTCGGTCACCTAATACACGAGGGACTGGAGACCTGTAGAAGTCCCCATCAGTTTCAAGGAAGGAGGCACACTTTAGTTTGTACCCTAATTTGCTCCAGATCCCCAAAAGCCTGCCTAAACATATGCAAAGGATTTTCAGGAAAAGCCTTTGAGGAAAAGGATCTTTATTTCTTTTCATGATGGGATTAAAGTCATAGCTGGCATTTTTGAAGTGTGTAGTGTAATATAACATTTATTGGACTAAAACCTTAGTAATATTTTAGGTTATTTTAATTGTGTCATTTGTAATAATTACTTTAAAATTCATTTGAAATATACAAATTCACGTTGCAAAATATCACAGTAATTTCTGTAAAGCATGGGTATGTATATATATGTATGCATATGTATATTTGTATGAGTGTGTGTGTATATATAAATATCACTTGAACATATCATTTTAACGCAGATTAACCTTTAAATATCTAATATTTCAGAAAATCAAAGTACTAACTATAGTCTATATTTACACAGACTGTACTTGAAAGGTTTCAAAGTGCTTTCTTGAACACTGTCTTATTTTATTCTAATACCTTATAAGATAGATGTTAGTATCTTTATTTCCCCAGAAGTGAAGCAATTTGACCAAGGACATATGGTTTATTAGTCCATTTTTATGGCGAAACAACTGCAAATACTCAGTGATTACCACTGCAAATATTTGTCTATTTTCGTTCATGGGTCTGTGGTTGATGGTGATTTGGGTGATCTCAGCTGCATGTGTGCTCCCCAGCTTGTAGACTAGGTTCAGCTCTGCTTCTCGTGTGGCCTCTTGGGATCAGTGACTACTTGGAGCAAGCAGTTTCTTCTCTTGATGGGTGTCAGAAGCAACCAGCCAGGCCAGCTCACACAGCTCACTTGAAACCACTGTGTGCATCTTACCTGCTAACTCTCCATTGGCCAAATGAGTCCCCTGCCGAACCCAGTAACAGTGGGGAGGGACACGTACTCCACCCGTTGTGGTAGAAGGTACTGCAAAGTGGAGGGGCAAAGACTTGTAGTATACATAGACTTCTATACCGGGAAGAAAGGGGAAAATGGTGAGCAATTGCACAGTCTACCATGTGTTGTTAGGAAATGACAATACTAGCCTCCTGAGTCAATATACAGATTGTTCTTTACACTTTAACCCATTAGAAAACAGAGCAAAACCCAAAATTTCCTTCTAAGGAAGTTTGATGTGACAGCCACCTTAAATTCTTTTAGGAACGAGCCAGAATGGAAGTGTGTTAACTGATCTGTAAATTAAAAAGTAAACCTAAATTTTGTTTATATAGTTACAATGTTTTCTATTATAAAGCACCCTTATTCTGATTTTTTTTTAGAGCCACTTCTGTGTGACTGTTCTCCTACTTAGTTTTGCATCATAATTTGTGTGATGGGCCTTGAGTTTTACCCCAGAATGCAGAGAGAAAAGTGAATTCTAATGTAAAGTATGACCTCTTTATAATTTGGTCTTATGTTCCTAACATTCAAAGCTAAAACAAGGCTTTACAGTTTGAATTCAATGACATCCTCCCATGGAGAAATATTCAATAATAATGTTTCAGCAAATGCCTATGAAAATCCTTTTGAGCAAGCTGCCGTAAGGATACACAAGGATGCCAGGATGTTTGTGCAGGGGCTCAGACCACAGCTCTTCCCTTTGCACCTTTGAATAATCTCCAGGTCATGAGTTCAAGCCCCATGTTGGGTGTAGAGCTTACTTGAAACAGCAATAATAAAATAAAAGATACTTAAGAAATTTTTTGAATTAAAAAAATAATTACAGCAACAATAATAGCAACAGGACTTACGTAATGGTTGACTGGGTGCTAGATATAGATGTGTGTTTGTGTGTATGTTCACACAGATGTACATATGTATACCTGTCACATGTGCATGCATGTATGTGTGTGTGTGTGTATACATATATATTCTGATTTAATCCTCACAATGACTATGTGGCCAGAGGATATGATGATATTGCTGAGGCCAGAGGAGTCAAGTCACCTGAGCAAGATCAGCAGGTTCCAGATTGCTGTGCTCATAATCACTATGCCATGACCATAGTGTGCATGTTTATTCAGGTTAGCCCCTAGGAAAGGAGACACCGGCTTCCTTGGTGTGGTCAGGCCTGTTACTTCCCTGGCGCCTGCCACTGTCACCAAAGTAAGTTTAAAATTATTGATGGATGCTTTCCTTTTTTCAAAAGAAAAATCAGCCATCTTGTGGGGTGGTGAAAATGGCTCAGCGGGATCTGTTCTTTGACTATCAAAGGCCAGTACGGGCAACGACAGAAAAAGCGCAGACTTGCGAAAATGAACCCACTGGGCCGCGCGGATCTGTGGAAACCGATAACTCAGAAAGCACTCATGTGAATATATTTTTTTAAAAGGTGACTAGCCAGTGACACTGTGTGCTTCCTTCAGGGTAAAAGGAAAGTTCTGAGATGCCAAAGCATTCCTGCTCTGTTTAATACATTGCCCTCATGATTTTCCCCTCAAGGCTTATTAGAAGAAGATAACCAGTGGATGACCCAGATCAATAGACTCCAGAAATTAATTGATCGACTGGAAAAGAAGGTAGGTGCTTCCTTTTCTTTCTTCTCCGTCTCACTTTTCAGTACATTCTGAGCTGTTTTTCCTCATGGCAGTAATATATCGATAGAATAACAGCCAGGAGCCCCGTGATTCTACAAAGGGCTGCTTGGTAGTTATCTGGGCGTTTCTGTTAAAGCAAATATAGAAGCTCATGTTAGGTCTTAGTCCCCCCACCTCCACCCCTAGTTCTATTTAAAATAGGTTGCAGGGGCGCCTGGATGGCTCAGTTCGTTGGGCGACTGCCTTCGGCTCAGGTCATGATCCTGGAGTCCCAGGATTGAGTCCCACATTGGGCTCCCTGCTCTGCGGGGAGTCTGCTTCTCCCTCTGACCTTCCCCCCTCTCATGCTCTGTCTCTCTCATTCTTTCTGTCTCTCAAATAAATAAAGTCTTTAAAAAATAAATAAATAAAATAAAATAAGTTGTAGAGGAGTACCTGGGTGGCTCAGTCGGTTAAGCGTGTACCTTCGGCTCAGGTCATGATCTCAGGGTCCTGGGATCGAGCCCCACGTGGGCTCCCTGCTCTGGGGGGAGCCTGCTTCTCCCTCTGCCTCTGCCCCTACACCCACGCTTGTGTTCTCTCTCTCTCTTTCTCAAATATTTTTTAAAAAATTAAAAATAGGATGTAGAGTTACAAGTTAAATAAATGTACTGCATTGCCAGTCTCTTTGGTTATCAATGCGGTAGGTAACAGTGTGCTTGAAAGATGCAGATGGCAGCTCTTAGGGATGACCTGGCCCATGTCTTGGGAATGTTTCAGAGTGATCCAGGTTGTGTGATATACTAAAAGATGAAATTACATTCTCAACTTCCATAAATTAGCATGTTAACTGATGATTTTTGGCATTGGAACTACCCAGTGAGCAAGCAAGTAGGGATGTGATGAGTTTTTCAGATCTATATTTTATGTTTCTAGTTATTTTATTGACTAATTGAATTAGTACACGCAGTCCTAGTATTGTAGTGGTGTTCCCCTGAAACAGCTTTGATGGAAGAGGCACGTTTTGTCAGTCAGTAAGAATATGTGTTTTCTGTGCACGCCAGGCGCCAGAGAAGAAATGTTTATGTTTGAGACAGTTACTGACTTTGAAGAACCCACAGTCTGCTTGTAAAATTAAGCATTATTATCAAAGTTAATAGATTTTTTTAAAGTATGTGGTAGCACAAAACCAGCTTCATAGTTAATGCTCAGTCAATTCTTGCTGACTGAGACATGCCAAAGGAATAGAACAGATGCTAATTACAATCTACAGGAGCTTCCTGAGGGAATGATCACTGCGAGCTACGGTGCTTGGCAAGGACTTAGTGTGGCAGGAGGGGCTTGAGTTGGGCCTTTAAATGATGACAATTAAGAATTTTGTTGGCAAGCAATAGAAATCACCTCTGTAATAAAAAAAAATTTTTCTGGAAGGATATGGGAGTGCTCACAGATCAACAGACGGTATAGAAACTAGGATTCAGGAAAAGTCAGGAGACAAAATAACTCTAGAGATCTAAGTGAGAAATACTCAGTGGTCTTTCAGGCTACCTCTACTGGAACAAATGAGTTCCAACCATCCCTAGTCTGTTGACATTATGCTCAAGATTCCACTTTCCAGGGGGTAGAATCAGGTTGGTCTTGTTAGGGTCCCAGGCTGATTACTTACATAAGGGAAGGAAGAACATCTTGATTAACGGTCCCAGAGCACTGTATTGAAAGGAGAAGAGAGAATTCACTGAAAGGTAAATGTATTGTCATTAAAATTGGAATAAATGCTGGTCTACTAACCAGTGAACAAACAAATATTTGCTATGGAGAAGTAAAATTTTAGTAAAAGGAGAGCAGCTAGAGAGGACATTGGGTAAGGGTGATAGCATGAGTAAACCTTAAGTAGGCCAGCCTGATTAGATTCTTTCCTTTAGGGAAGTGGTAAGAAATAAGATTGTGTGGATGGATAGGGGCCATATTATGGATGGTGTTAAATAACAGAGTAAGGGATTTGGACTTGTCTTCGAGACAACAGGAGGCATTTATTATTTTTCAACAGGTAAGTGACATAACCAGAAAGATCTTTTAGTTAGAAAATTGGACAGCAAAAATACAAAATGAATGCAAACAAGAAAATTCAGAGCCACCAAAGCCAGCTCAAGCAATGACATTAAAGAGCAGGTTGCAGATCTGAGCCCACTGGGATCAGGTATGGCAAGAGATGGGCCTGTAATATATGACTGAAAAGAAAATGGCAGATTTGAAAGACTTCAATGAAATTAACAGGACCATTGAATGGGTGTGATGGGTAAAGGACAGGGGAATCTCAAATAGGACTCTGAGGATTTGAGCCTGAGTGCCTTAGTCAACTGTATCATTAGTAGAAAGGAAGAGACTAGTGAGAGATAATGGGTGAGGTGAGGTGAACTGATTGATTAGATATGTTAATTTCAAGATCCAGTAGGACATAGGCAGAAATGTTCAATTAGATGTTACTAAGCAAGAAGTCAGGCCAACAGTTTAAGACCTTATGAGCCATCCCCTCAAAGATGAAAGCTCCATGTCCTGAGTTGAGGAGGATCTCTGAGGAGATTCTGTACAAGGAACCAAGTCCAGGGGAAGAAACCTTGGAGAGTTCCAGTCGCTCTGCTGCCATGTCATCATTTGTACATTTACACTGACCACTAACTGGACAAATAACCTAAACTTAGAGCTTGTTGCAATTCAACTTTCTTCCTTCCTAATTTTATTAATTGATATGTGAGCTGAGATTAAACATAATCATAGGAAAAATGGTGGCTATGAAAATTAGCTTCTCAATCATGGAAGACGTGGAAATGCATGGCCTCTATGTGGAAAACAAACCTCGTTAAAACATACAGAGTCAATTATTACATAATTTTAGATTCATTTAAAGAACATAAATACCTCCTTTTAAAATAGTTTCAAAGTTCTTGGCAACCTGTCCTTATTTGGTGTCTTAACTTTTATAGCTATTTTTAAAGGAATAGCTTTAACTTAGGTCATGCCTTTTTTTCCAACTTTAAATCAAAGTATTATCACATCTCTTTCTTTCCTAGACTTTTTCTCCCTCCCTTCCTATGAAAGGGTTTCATTTTGAGGACAGTGTCTGAGAGGTTTGCTGAAAGTATGATGTGATGGTCTTGGGCATTGTGTCCCAGCTGTGTGGGGGCTCAGCATGATCTGTCTTAATGAATGGAGAAGCAGTGCAAGTCCCGTGTCCTTCTACAACTTATTCTGTACCTAATTCTGTGAATTAGGCTTTTAGAGGAAAAACTACCCAATCGCCAAACAGTAGCTAAGTGCATGTCATTTCACAGCTGACTCTCTTGTCTCTTGCAGTTATTGGCACCGGGTTTGCTCTCCCCATTAGAAGGAAGTGTTCCTGCAGTGGAGCACCTGTTCTCTTTTCTCAGCACTTAGTATGATAAATACTTCCTGCCCCATAAACCAGGCCCGGTACCATTCATGTGGAGGGAGAAATCATCCTTGAAATTTCTACAAGTTCCCTCAGGCATTCTTTCTTCCCATTTCAGCCTCTATGAGGATTTATGGGGATATATTGAGATTATATTTTATATTGTGCTTGAGCTCTGCAGAAAATTTTTTCGAACATTCTCATTTGAAGGGGTAGAATGAAGGATGTTGCATTCATACCACTTGTTTTAAGTTGTTCTTATCTTCGATCAAAGAAGGTGGAAGTGAGAAGTGTACCTGAATTGGTGTTAGGGAAAGAGTGGTCAAGGAGAACCCTGTTGTTAGAGTTTCTATCTGTAGAGTATTCTTTAAGATTCAGCTCACGTCCATATGCATTCCATCACCTTGCCTTCACGGAAAAGCTATGATTTCAATGGGGCATTCATTCAGCCATTCATTTATTCAACTAACATTTATTGAGCATCTGCTTTATGCCACGTATTATTCTGGCAGTGAAAGTACAGCTGTGATCAAAACAGGTAAGGTTTTTGGTCCAATAGAGACCGAGGAAAATCAGTAAACAAATCAATAAAATAAGGTAATTTCAGAGAGCGAAAAGCACTGCGAAGACAAAGTAAGGCAGTATGGTAATGATGAGGGGTTGGATACTTAGAAAGGGTGATCCAGGAAGGTCACTCTACGGAGGTGATACTGGAGTTGAGGTGTGAGAGAGGAGAGGGAGTCAGCTAGATGAATCCCTAGGAATGGAGAGTTCAAGGCAGAGGAAACAGTAAAAGCGAATCCTAGAAAAGATAAATAAGGTTTTACCACAAGAGAACAGCAAAGCTAGAGCTACATAGCTCTGTTTTTAACAAGCTTATGTTATTTCAGACGGCCTGGATTTCTACAACTTTCAATTTATTTCTTATGTACTTGAAGGAATTATTGTGCATAATACTCACTACCACAAATGCTAGGATATATATTCTTAGAATGAAGTCCTCAGAGATTACATGCTTGGTTTCACTGGAGATATTAGCATCATCCATTGATGACTGCAGAAAATTCTAGGGTCTTTTTAGTAGTCCTTGATTTTTAGAAAATGTCAATAGTGTTTTCATTTGCTTTTGAATTCATCTTTTTTTAGAGTGATCATCATGTTTTAGTAATATCAAATTATCACTAGAGTATAAAAGTATTATAGCAATTACACTAATATCCATCAAGATTTCCCAAGGAAAGTGGCAATCAGCACTAACAGCAAAAGAAGTCAGCCTCATCTTTCTTTTTCTATCCTATCCTTTCCCTATTTTAATGAATCCACTCCATTTTGTTCTCTTTTATTGTCATCAATAAACTTAAAGCAATCACAAATTAAACACATCTGAAATGGCTTTTTACCATTGATAAATGGGTAAAAGAGGCTTTACTGGAACGGTTTCATTTTTAAAATCAGAATTATTCCATTTCCTTTCAGATAATGAGGTTCTTTTGGTACAACATTAGCCATAAAAGACTTAACATTCAAGTATATTGTGTTTCCTTTATCTCATTTCTGGTCCCTTCCTTCCCCATTTCTTTCTCCACCTGAAGGATCTCAAACTTGAACCACAGGAAGAAGAAGTTATTGAAGGGAATACTAAATCTGTAAGTACTTTTTTCTAGGTCAAAATGTCAGAAATATGTACTTTTGAAAACATCATTTAATTTCTTCAACATTAGTTACTATCTCAGTGAAAATTTGAAAAAGTAGTACATAGGCATATTTTATTTTGCATGGCTAAGTAGTATTGAAATTGTGATTTGTGGAAACCTAAATTTACAGGGTTTTTATGTAAGTACTTAGCATGTGATATGTGCAAAATGAGAATTTTATGCATATGTAAACCAGTGAGTTATTGAATAATTGAATGAATGTGACTGGCAGAGAAGGGCAACATTCAAATTATATCAGGAACAACATTTTGTCAACCCTACAAGCCTGAGTGCTACACCTGAGCTGAAACTTGATGCTATTCAGTATCGTATCTCCAGCTTTTATCCTAGGGCCAGGCTCATTGTAAGTGCTCAGAAGTCATTTTTTTTTTCCAGAAAAAAAAAAAATGTTTAGAGAAAAAGGAACATTTACGTTCCTAGGGAAAAGATGTCCATCCAGAGTTGGGGCAACTTACAGAGACTGAGAGAGAATGGACAAAGTGATGCTAATAGTCGCTAAAGACACAATAAAAAGAACTTTATGAATAAGTTAACTAATTGAAAACACACATCATGATTTGTTATTTTACTTTGAGGCAAATATTTGTAAAACATTCTGTTGGGGGGAAGTGGATCTTTGCATTCACATTTAGTGGAAATTTGGATTTTAAAATCTTGGCAACCCACAGAAAATCACTTTTTTCTTAATACCTTAAATGTATATTGTATAGATCATCTAGGATCCATCACATTTACCTGAGACAAAGATAGGAAAACCTTTCATCTCTGTGCCAGGCACTTACTCCACAGGCACTGCCCATGTGATAGAAGGCGAGGCTCCCCTTTCGGCTCCTGCCCATCTGTCCAGACTCAAAGCACAGAGAGTCTTCAAAGGGGAAGCCATAGAGGGTTCTGAGAAAAGCTTAATAATGGTGTTATGATTAGAATCCTATGGCTATGGCCACTTTGCCCAAAGGTAACCTATATTTCACTACATGTTCAGTGCTTCTGTTCCTCCAAAGATGGGATGCAGTCTGTATTAATTCATCAGGCACCCAGAATTCTAAATGGGTAGGTTTTGGTGGGAAGCAAAACCTTTTTTGAGAAGGAGAGAAGGCTGTCGTCGAGTGCACATACTAGGAATACTCTTCCTAACAGTCCCTTAGGCACAGGATGGTGACCTTGCAATCTTGCATCTCTAGCATCAATTAGATTTGCATGTAGGGAAAACTACACTCCAGTCAAGAAAACTGAACATAACATTTCTAATGTTGAGAGAGACCATTGTCTATTCTTACATAATTTCCTAACGTGAGACTACTCTCTCTCACTAAGTGGGAGAAAAAAATCATCTAAGGACTATTGATGGAGGGTGACAGACTGTTCCATTCTCTGGTCCCTGCCAGGAGAGAGGCCAACGTCAATTTTAGAATATTTATCAACCCACATAGCATTAGTAGTTCAATAGTGCATTGAAGTACTTAACAAAATAGGATTGGGCAACGTGCTTCAGTAGTCAATATTATTGAAAAGCAGAGAAGGATATTCCTTAACTATTTTCAACCACATGTAAAGGTAAAATAATTACGATCTTTGGGAATACACATATAGTATAGTAATGATTTGAATAAGTTTGTTTTTCTCAAAGATACCAATAAGCTACTTGTCATTAAAAGTTGTACTTTATCATTAGTGGCAATAACGCCTCACCATCGATTCTTATAAAACCTCCCCGATTCGGGGGCGGAGCAAGATGGCGGAGGAGTAGGAGACCTGGATTTCGTCTCCTCTCAGGAATTCAGCTGGATAGGGATCAAACCATTCGGAACACCTACA